TTTATAAATGAAAGGTTCACTGCAATGTTTATGAAACAAATATTTACATATTTGCACTTGGCAGTCTAACAGCTGCAAAAACTAGAACAACCCCTACCCCCCAACATGTTAAAAAAAAATTTGTTTTGACCCACCCTTTGTAAGTGACTAGATAGAGGAGATAGCGGTGGTCCAGCTAACAAATTAATAAGCACACTTCCAATTAAATGAAAAGAAAAAGCATTGAGGTTTGCCTAGAGATACAGTTATCTGTACATTAAATGATCTATGCAATGGAGGTGAATACTAGCCATGGGTACAAAGACCAGGTCTGCAACATAATAACTCATGCTTTACCACACTGGGCCATAAAAGCATATATCTAAATCTGCATAATCTACCACTGCCAGACTTTCATATTAATTGAAGGGCAAAATAGTGACACAGTAGCCTCAGGCATGCAACCATGATTGATATATATATATATATATATCAGAATATTCTATTTTACTTCATCTCATTCTTTTACAGAACTGTGTATGTTCCAAAACCCTAAAGCAAAATAAAACTTAAAACTAGTAAAGTATAGATGTGGAACCCAGCATGTCACCACTAGTGCCTTCTTATCTACTATTCCTAAGCGTGTCCGGTCTTGTTACAGTACATATCCGTTAACCATGCAATAAACCTACTGTTCAGCTCAAAGCTAAAAAGGAGAGTGGTAAAGACCAAACATGAAGTATTTATTATACTAAAGATTGGCAGTGGGTTCGTCTATCCTAAATTACTAAGCGTACAAGTAATACATAATAGGCCACAGTCAATGCATAATCCTAAGAAGGGCACAATATAAATTGGTATTACAGCTGTCAATACCATCTTGTAAGTGTCGCAAGAAAATACCGAGCACAGCATCTTTATCCACTTACAATCCTCATTCGAGTAATATAAAAAGGGATTAAAAAATTGTTTCTTGCTGCTGTTGCTAACCTCAGATCATTGGAGTCTAGAACATGACAAGGAAAAACAATAAAATGCCTGTTCTCTTCAGCAAGCCAGATCAATACCTCCAGCAATACATGATTTGTCTGCTTCTTGCAGTGAATTTACAAAGATGAATTTTTTTTTCCTCTTTTTTTTTTAGTCTCCCCTAACAGCTGTCATCTGAAGCATTCAGCATATTTATTCATTGGATTTTACAACCGCTACATAAAAATGGCACAAAAACACACACACTTCAAAAGACAACGCACTTGGCCAGAGCAAAGAAAATGATAAGGAAATTGCTGACATGTATGTAGCGGTGGGAACCAATTTCCAGATCTCCCTGTTAAGTAAATTCCAGTCATTCAACATGGCCTTGTCACAGTTCATATGCCTTGGTGGCAATAAAGTGCAGCAAATGGCTATGAACTCGAAAAAAACAGGACCACAAATCATCCTGCTGCTCCAAAACAGCAAAAGATGGATAGGACAAGACAGCAATTCAGCGATAAAAGGCTTAGCCAAAAGGCGAAAACCTCTGGCAATAATACGGCTTAGCACTTGGAAATGAATGTCCCTAGTTAAAAGGCTAAGGAAAAGGTATATTTGTGTCCAACAACAGGGAGAGACAAATGAATATGGAACTCAGGAGCCAGTCTGTCCAATCCAGGCGGATATTTATTTATATTTTGGAGGAGCCAGCTCCAATGGCAACTATGGAAAACCTCTAAAGCTAGGCACCAACTGTAATTTTTAAGGAGCATTAGCTACCTGCCTCCTGGGATGTATTCAGCCCTGACCTACATGGACATACTATTGGTACTACAAGGCAATCGGTGGCAGGCAGTCACCAAAGGGGCCCCGTGTAAGGCTCACTTTCACACCCAACAATCGGCTAAAACTAAACCCCAGTGTACGGATCCCCAACTAGGATGTTGAATGTCTGGCCAAAAATGAACAGTTGTGTGTGGATCCATGGCTAGATATTCAATAACTGGCCAAGAACCAACAATTGTGTATGGATCCACAGCTAGAAATTCAAGCCAACCATGAAGGAACACTTGTGTATGGATCCACAGCTAGATATTTAAACCGGCCAAAAATGATCACTTGTGAATAGAACCATAGCTAGATATTCAAACTAGTCAATAATGACCATTTGCGTACAGGTCCACAGCTTGCTATTCAAACCATCCAAGAACACATGTATGAATCCATAGCTGGATATTAAAACCAGCCAAGAATCATCACTTGTGTATGGCGTTAACTATTCAAACCAGCCCAGAATGACCACTTGGGAAATGTGTGTATGGATCCATAGCCAGCTATTCAAGCCAACTAAGAATAAACACTTGTGTATGGATCCTTAGCTAGCTATTTAAACTGGCCAAGAATGATCAGCTCTACGTGACATCAATAGGGTCTAAGCACCCACCTGAGCCACATTTAATACAAATGGGCCTCCAGGTCCCACAGGGGCCCTAGTGCAGTGGCACAAAGGGTACATCCGCCCCCTGAAAGCAATGCAGCTTGCCTCTAGCTATGAAAAGAGGCACACAGTTGTGTTCCCTTGATACCAGCAGTGCTCCTTCCCCCCCTCCCTATTGCATCACAAGTTCGGTAACTACCAGATAAAGCCACATTCCAGCAGGTCACATGGCCAGCAGATCTGCAGGGCAGCAAAACAGGGTGGGGGAGAGGACTCTCCAATAGAAACCAAACTCGGCTCAATCCCAAAACTTCACCAAGGGGAAAAGTTGAATGCCCTGCAGCCTATTAATGTGTGTGTATGAGAGAGAGAGAGAGAAAGAGAGGACGCCATCATGTACCTTCATCCAGAAGTCTCTCCAGGTGGTTAAATATCCCGCAGAAGTTGGGCAGACTGCTCATCAGCTTCTTATCGTTCATTAGCTGCATTAGATAGTCTGGGGTCGGCTTCGGCTTCTCCTTTGTTTCCATTTCCCCCACCATTATCCAATCTCGGAAGAGAAAAATTTTTACGAAAAAAATAGACGTATAAAATCAACCAGAGTCCAGGCTGGGTCTTTGGCGATCCACAACACTGAAGTAGAAAAGGAAACAGAGAAAATACAGATGAAACTTGGAAATGGACGAGCTTCACTTTTCCTTCTTCCGCCCCCTGGGTGTCCGAATACACATGAAATAGGAGGGGGGCCGGGGAGGAGGGATAGGAAGGGGGGGGTCAGGGCTCTCCTCTCTACTTCTTACTAGTCACCCCCGGATCTCCTCCTGGAGCAGCGAGCGGAGGAAGTGTATAGACGGAGGATCACACGGGCAGACAATGTGGAGAGGAGAGCATTGGAGGGGGCAGAAGAGACGTACTGTACTGATCTCTCTTCCCTCGGCGTGTCACCGATCTCCTCTTTCACCAGCTCTGATTAGGGGGCTGTTCGCTGGCCGTCTCCTTCCCGTCCCCCCTTTGGCTGGCTGGCTGGCTGGCTAGCAGTCGGCGCTCTAGCACACAGTTTCCACGCTGTCCCTCTCCCTCTGTATACACGCGATGAGTAGCAGTCCCTGGTAGCAGATCTCCGGCCGTCGCTCGTCTGCTTACTTCTCCTTCTAAAGGAGTTCGGTTCAGTTCACGCAGCACAGAGAGGAAGAGGTGGAGGGGCGGGGACACATAGGATAGGAGGAAAGCATAGGGCGGGAGCTGGGGCGGGGCCAGCCACAGAGGAAAGGGGTTGTCCTTGGTGACCGTTGTTAGGGGAGTGGAGAACATTTTTTAGAGGGGAGTGGAGAGGGCTAGACGGTGCAGTGCGCCGATGTTGTACACCGAGCAGAACAAATCACGTACTTTGTATGCGGGGAGTGACGGGTCTTCTCGGCTCCATATGATTAGGGCGAACACCAGGATGGAGGAGGGGGATAGAGGGTGTCAGCTCTTCCCCACAGCGAGCGCTGTACAGTATGGGGGGAGTCCCTCACAACTGAGGGTTCTATGAGGGATCATTGTTCAAGCGCCGGTTCCACACACATCCCCATTAAGATCCCTCTATAGGCAGCTGCGTATAAAGGAGCAGTCAGATGGAAAGTTTTCATTTCTAGAAGCATCAGGGGACACAGAGCTGAGGAAATTGCTGATTAAAGCGGACCTTCACTCAAATACAACACTTGCCATTCATTCTAATCCTCCCTCTTACATAGTTGCTGCAATTTTTTCTTGGGAGGAGGGACGGAGCAAGTAGCTTTTCTACTATTCTGCCCTAGGTTATGTCCTTACAGGGCCATCTTTAATATTAATTGGATCCTGGACAAACATATTCTTGGGCCGCCCCCACCTGCTATTCTCATGCTACGCCCCCTACCTCAAGCGACATCCTCCTGCAGAGCAGCTAGGGGGAGACGTGACTATCACACTGTCATGCTACGTGGTGTACGGCAAGGGCGGAGCAACACTATGCGATGCCAATCATGTGTGTATCTTTTGTGGGGCCAGCGGCTTTGGGCCCCACAACAGTGACTGGGCCCGTGGCAACTGCCCCTTTTGCCCACGTTAAAGACAGCCCTGGGTGAGGATGACGTTAATCTAATTTACCTGGCAAACGTCACACATCCCAGGAGGCTTCAGGATGCTCTCCCCGCAATCCACCAGTCCATGTATGTGCAAAGACACCTCAACAGCCATTTGATTTTGCAGCCCGCTGTCACTCTGATCACTTGTTTGGCTCCCAAATAAAAAATGGTGGTCCAACGAGCCTGCGTATGTGCATTGGTGCCTCATCTTTGATTTGGGAGCTGGCTGTCACTTTCTGATCACTCAGTTGGCTCCCAAATGGAAGATAGCAGTCCATCAGCCCACTTATGTGTGTCACTTTCTTTTCGCTCTGCCACCTCCTAAATCTAAAATGGAAGTCCACCAGACCACTCATACCCAGTGGTGCTTTAGCAGCCATCTTTGATTTGGGAGCTGACTTACTTTCTGATCACTCAGTTGGCTCTCAAATTAAAGATGGCAGTCCACTATCCCCCACATGCACAGTGGCACCTCAGCAGTCATCTTTGATTGTCACTGATCCTGATCACTCAGTCACCTCCCAAATCCAGAATAGTAGCATGAGATAATAAAAAGCTGAGAAGACTTCAGCTTGTAGGAAGACTGCACCGGGCTCCATGGGCTGGTAACTGTGTTTTTTTAAAGTCAGCAGCTGCAGTACTGCTGACTTTTAGTTTGCACCAAGCAAAGCCTGAACTGGACAGAACTGGAGGCTGAATATGATGGTATTAAAGGGGCAGTGCAGGCCCAGGATAAATGATGCCTACCTTCTATGCACTCCCATCCCTACAGTCAGCAGTTTCATAATCTGCATCCCCACTCCATATCCAACACCCTAAGGCTTCATTCGCAATGGTGCATTGCAGCAACGTGTGCAAAGACACGCCCTGTAACACCTGCTGCAGTGCCGTTCATTATTAATGGCACCCCAATGCACCTTACTGCACCATGATCTTTTTACGTGTGTGAAATGATACCAAAACGCTAAATAGTGTTGCTTGAACATGTCCAATCGCAGCAGTCTCCATCACTAGTGATGTTTATTAATAATGGAAAATATTTTTATTATTAAGGGAAAATAAATTCCAAACCCACATGCCCTGTGTGAAAAAGTGTTTTCATAATGAATTCAGTGAACCACCCGCAAACTGAACTCAGGTAGATGCGCTCATCCTTAGTCAGCAACCTGCAACCCCCTGCTCAGCATCTGTGACCTTTGCAGTCTCTGCATATCTTACCTGCAATCTGCACTTTCAACTTTTGCCCCCCTTTCTATGTTTAATACTAGCGATGAGTTTCAGGTTCAAGTTGAGAGTGGGTCTATAGTGAACCCAACCTTTTCCCAGTTCACTGAGAGAGCCAACTTTGCTGCCACCACAACTAACTACTAATAATGCATTTCCTGGCCTCTGAGCTTAGGTCAGGTGGTCATAGCAGGCTGCTGGTTTTAAAGGGCATATGTCCTAATTTTTGCTGGCTAAAATTAATTTTTTTACAGTGTTTCCCTGTGTCCACATGCCCATAAAATAATTAAAAAGTTAGCCATAGACTGGTTAGGCTTATTATCCATGATTAAAACCATCCTGCTGCTGGTCGGTTTTACACTGCTGTAACCTTTGTATTATCTTTCTATAGCAATTTATAAACTGTTTACAAAATAGTAAGATATTTAGTAGCAGTCTTTACACACTGCATAAATAGATATATATTTTTTTCTTTTTCTAGAACAAAAAAGGTGAATCAAGCAAAAACATTGGATTGTTTAAATAAAGTTTGCTGCTGGATGCTCATTAAACTCTTCCTAGATAGAAGTGATATGCTACACACATTATACATCATATTTCCACATTTTATTTTAGACCTCATTGGTTAAATCACATCCACATTTATCTTGGGAGAGCCCAAAAAAGTGCTGCATTTCTATTTCTCAGATTCCACATAATTTGTAACACAGCATAGGTTGTATATTTTACAATTTCTTGTAGAACACATTGTCTAAATTATCATCTGAGGAATTCAAAAGAAATTGTAAAAGTTAGATTTCTCAGAAGTAAGATGCCACATACAGCATACTCAATAATTATAAATATAATATTAATATTTAGGCCTCAATGGCTATACCACATTCCCATTCTCAAGTTTTTATTTTTTAATAATACAATTTTAGGATTATGGTGCACTGTATGAGTGTAACTTTAGTAAATTATGGAAAGCCACGATTGCTAAAACACTTATCTTATGCAGCTTTTGAGGACAAGTAACAAAATAAAGTGTTTATTTTTCACTGTTAAAATGAAGGAATATTTTACATAATGCATAGCTAGTACTGCAATCTCTTTTAGATCATAGTTTAAAAATGCATGCAGTTTTGTAGCCCGAAAAATCCACATTTAAGTGTATATATTTCACATGAAATAAGAAGAAATTATTCAATAACTCCATAGGTTGTATTTTAAGCACCTTTGATAGGCTGCATTGTGAACAGGAGGGACAAGAGTTAGCTTGTAATAAAAAATAAACTTAAGTGTATATTTCTTTTCCCCCAAAAAGACAGCAAAGCTTTGTACTGAAATTTTGAACAGAAGACATCAGGGAACTTGTAATAAAAACATTGACATTAGAGTGCATATTTTGACCCAAAACAAGTCACCAACACATTTTACAGATGCCATATACTGTATGTAAGCACTTTTATCACACTACAGTTTATTTAAATAGAGTAATGGACACATTGTAACTGCTGCCTGCATTCTATAAATGTGGGTAATGACCCAAATTTCATAATAAGATCCAATTTTTTAGCTATTGTTCGATATTTCTTTTTCATCTTTTAAGCCTCGAAGAAGTGGGTTGTGCCTGCCTCCAAAAAGCATTGGCTGTTGGATCAGCATAATCATTGAACTTTTTTTGGACTCTAAATTCTGATTTGGTCTGGCGCCCTCCTTTTCTGTCCAATCTTTGAGCTGTTTCATACCGTAGCTCGCGGTATACTGAGGCTAGGGTGACAGGAGGACGCTAGTTTGTGTCCTCCCGTTAACCTAAGGAGAACTATGGGGAAAAGCCTTAACCCCATAGTTCTCCTTTAAGTAGTTGATTGCAGGGACTGCTGATACTTCTACAGTTTTAGAAAGTTACAGGCAACAGGTAAGTAACATGACACTGATCAAATAAAGGTCAGGCAGCAAGTAAGTCACCTGCTAGTAAGTCAGATGACATTGACACATTTAAAGTCAAGGCAGGTAGTTTGTTGCACTCTGCTGCAGTAATATGCATCTGTAAAGTAAACCTTTACATTCTGTGTGACAATTAATTCAGCATACATTGAGACCAGTTTTAGACACTTATGAGACATTCTGAGTCCCTTCAAGGCTTCTGACCTCATTTTAAACTGCACCAAGCGGCTTCAAGCTGCTTTTGCATTCCCAATGGTTGTAGAGGGAGTACAAAGCAGTTCTGATGCATTGTACGCAAGCCCTAAATAAAAGATGATGGCACCTTCATAATGC